TTTGTGGATGGCAGTCCTTGGTTCAGCGTGCTGGAAATGTTTGAAGTTCTGAAGCAGAAAGGACATGAAATAGTCGTCGTTGCACCTGAAGCCAATATAAACATAAAGGCATCAGAGAATTTTGTTATGAAATCCTACACGGTCCCTTTCACACAGGAAGAGATGGATGGCAATTTCCACACATTTTTTAAGGGCGCATTTGAAAAAGGATCATTTCTGGAAAGATTTCATGGACTGCAAGAAAAAGTAAAAAGACTCTTTGATTTAGGTTTCATATCCTGTGAACAGTTACTGCACAATGCAGAACTTATCAGATATCTTGAGGAGAGTAACTTTGATGCTCTCTTTACGGACCCTGTGTTCCCTTGTGGAGCAATACTGGCCGAGCACCTTTCCATCCCTTCTGTGTATTTCATGAGGGGAATGCCATGTGGATTAGATTTTGAGGCCACCCAGTGTCCCAATCCCCCTTCTTATATCCCCAGGGCACTTACAGACCATACAGATCACATGAACTTCCTCCAGCGTGTCAAGAATGTCATCTTTGACACCTCCAATCTTTTCCTCTGCAATTTTTTTTTCCAACCATATGAAAAACTGGCTTCTGAGTTCCTTCAGCGAGATGTGATGGTATTAGATCTCTTAGGCAAGGCTTCCATTTGGCTCATGAGGTATGACTTTGTGTTAGATTATCCAAGACCATTGATGCCCAACATGATCGTAATTGGAGGAATAAACTGTGTTCACAAGCAGCTCTCTCAGGTGGGTCATACTCAGGTTTTAGTACTTGTTCTGATAGATTTCTGTGGTCATAAAAATGTAGTTTTGTGTATCAGGTATTTTATTTCTGTTTAGCATGTGCTAGGCAGCTTTTTGTGAAAAAATGCTTTGCTACTCTTTCTCTGAAAGGAACAGACGGTGGTGCAGTAGCACCATCCACACGGACTCTAGTGCTGATTATCCAGCCTTTTATTAAACCAGTGTTTAATCATTTACTAGGCAAATGTTAGTTACCTTACCTACCCCACCATTACTTTCATATGTCTGCACTGCTTGCTTATACCATTAGATGGCGGTCCTATCAGTAGGAAAGGATAACAGGCAAAATGAATGGGGAAGTGGCTAAGAAAAGCACTTTGCACTTCATCCCTTGTGCAATGAGGAGGAAATTGCTTTCTGGAAGTCCTCCAAGATTACCAGACAAGTGTTCATGAAAAGCTGAGCTTTCCCTTTTATTCCTAACTACCTTCCAGATGCCTCTTTCAGGTTATTTCATTTTTTACTATGTCTACAAGACTTCTGCAGACCAAGCAATGCTCATTCCCTTCCCTGGAGCAGATAAGCAGTTCAGCAGGAATTTTGGAGACTGTAGCAGACATGAATTGAAACTCTACTTCTCTGGTGTAGCAGCAAGAGGTCTGCTTATTTTAAATAAGATTCTTTGTCCCAGACCTGGTCTGGAAGTGTATTTTGTTTGGACAATGCTGAACTTCATAAATATGGGTTATCCAGTTCCATTAAGGAAACCTAACATAGCTTTTCTTATTTTTTGAGCAAATGTCCACTGCACGGCCCGTTTCTCAAAGCAGGACTGTCAGAGGATTTGTAAAGGTTGTGACAAAGTTGGATTTTGGCACACAAGAACGTTTGAAGAAGATAATAAAACCAAGTGATTGATCCCACGGAAAACAAAAGGGCTAAACACACTCTGAAACAGCAGCATCTGTTCTACTGCAATAGGAAGTAAGGAAGGGAAGTCAACCTAGCAGCCACAGAAATGCATGCCCAAAACACCCAAAACCTGAGGAGGACTTTGCAGTTCCCAGATGCCCATGAGTACATACACAACAGAGCCCTGAGTTCTCCGTTAGCTATCTGCAATGACCTAGTGAAGAACTTGTCTTCAGAGAGATCTTCTGTCACAGAGCCACATCTGAACCGCGTTTCACCTTGTTTGCCTGCAGGAGAGATTCAGGCCTGCTGTTCAGATGCCACCTATCGGCAAGCCTTCAGAAAGGTCCTTCCGTTTGGATTCAGTCTCAAGTAAAGGGCTGTGGGTTACGGCATTCTGGTCAGCCACAGAAATACACAACAGAGCAAAAACCAAGGGAGTCAATCTCTGTTATCCACTCAGGCCCTAAAGATTACATTTCCGTGCCAGACTTCATTCATTTTATTCCATTCTGATGTTCACAACAACTCCCTCCAACTTTGTTTCTCCTCCCTTAGCTTACCAAGTATTTTTCTACGACACTGGGTTTTCACTTCAGTCTTTGGCTGTTTGTTTTACATAAGAATTCATCTGCGTTTCCATTCCAATGGCAGATCTTCTAGTTGTTCTTTTATCAAAAATAAAAGAAACAAAGCAGATGAAGTTGGCAGCTGATGAGTATTACCGTAGTCAAAATGGACACAACATTTCAGATACTAGAAGTGAAAGCTATCTTCTTACAGAGCACTTCAAAATCTTAAGACTCTCTTGCAGCTGCACGGTCTGAGAAGAAGAACATCGACTCTAAATCAAGCTCATCTGAAATTCCACAAGTTGTAAAAGCAAAACACAGAGTATTCACTTAAGGATTGGAAAATCATGGTGATTAACTGACCTACTTAACGGGTACATTATCTTTCTTATTGCACAGAAACTGATGTCTTTGAGCTGCACAAGTGTTTTACAATCTTTTCCCCCTCCCCTCATATCCATTCCAAACCTTGGTTCGGCTCCATTTCTGCAAACATTCACACCCCTGCATACCTTCATTCAACCACCTGTATCCTTGTTTTTTTTTTTCCTCCATGGAAACGTGACAGAAGTTGCCACCTGTGACATAATAGGGGTTTTGACTGAGGATGTGCTTTGTGTTGGCAGGAATTCGAAGCCATTGTAAATGCTTCTGGGGAACACGGTATTGTTGTCTTCTCGCTGGGCTCCATGGTCTCCGAGATCCCCATGAAGAAAGCCATGGAAATTGCAGATGCCTTGGGATCAGTCCCTCAAACGGTACAGTACCCCTTTCCTCCTTCCAGCACATTCAATGCTGTGTTCAGATATAGTACATTATCTTTGGCTCCTGGATTGCTCAGCCCTCCCTTCTTTCTCCTGCTCCCCAAGTGTCAGAGAGAACATCATCCCTGTTGTTGGCAAAAGAGGTTTTGCGCAGAGACGCTGTTAGCTGTGCTTTCCAAACCAGCAGAGGAGCGGTGTGAGTGTGCTTGTTGAGAACTGACACTGTGTTTATTGCCCTCCAAAGGTTCTGTGGCGATACACAGGAGAGGCGCCCCCCAACCTGCCAAAGAACGTGAAGCTTGTCAAGTGGCTGCCACAGAATGACCTCCTAGGTAGGTCTGAGATGCCTGGGGTTATACCATCTTATTGCTTTCAATTCCATCACATAGTTTCAAGGCCCCATTACCAGCATCTCTGCTGACTCTATCATTGCGGGTCTGTCTGAAACAGAATTCACCTTTTAGAAACTTCTCTAACTGTAATTTCAAGATCACCTTACTGTTTGGAAAGGTGTTGCAACTCTCAATTATGGCATTGTAAAGTATGGGGGGAGGTTTTGTCTCTGATTATCCAGTCTCAACACTCAGCTATGCTTTCCTGCCCTGTTGTCGTCTCCTGGACTGAAGGGGGAGTTTCAATTTCTCAAGGAAGCACTTCCAGGCAGCTTCTCACACTTTTAAAGGGGGTCATATTGTGCATGTTATTGCCAGGAGTGCATTTTTTTGGTGAAATGTTGTAATGTGATGGGAAGTACAGCAATAATAGCAGAGAGGGACAATACTAGGCTGTAGCAAATTAGAGCAAACTCAAACGCAGCAACCATAGAGGCAGAAACAAAGGAAGAAAAACTGCTTACTTTTGGGCAACCAGTAGGCAGGGATCTCCAACAAGATCTCCTTTTTTCCACAGCCAGCCCTTAAATGAGGTCTCTTAGGGGTGGGTCCTGGCTCCATCCTTTCCAATCAGATACAATGCACGCACCTGAGCGCCCCTGGGTTGCCCTGCCTTCCACCAGGTGCTCAATCACTGCTTCAAGCTGTGGCAGCACTTCTGCTGTACTTGGCGTGACAATATGGCTCTGCTGTGGGAGACGTGCAAATGGAAGACATGGTAAAAGAGAAAGCAATGACTTTGCTTTTTAAGTTTCACTGGTTGTGATTTTATCCTAACACCTGAGAAGCTGTGGAGGATCTTAAGGGGCTTTTCAGAGATTACCCAAACCAAGATGGAGCTCTACAATCCATAACGTCCCGTTCTCTGCTATATTGTTTGCCCATAAGTAACAATGCTTATGACAGCCTAAAGTTCTTAATGTACACCTAAGAATGGCATTTTTCTTTAATATATTTTTCCTAGGTGTGTGTAACCATGACATAACAGATCTCTCTTTCTTCCACAGCTCACCCTAAGACTCGTGCCTTCATTACCCATGGAGGCTCACATGGTATTTATGAGGGCATATGCAATGCAGTGCCAATGGTGTTAATGCCTTTATTTGGAGACCAGATGGACAATGCGAAACGAGTGGAGTCACGGGGAGCAGGATTGACACTGAATATACTAGAAATGACTTCGAAAGACATATCCGATGCCCTGAAAGCAGTTATCAATGATAAAAAGTTAGTAATTCATATGCACTTTTTCTTTCTACTGCTGTATAATGCCAGCACTCTGACTTCCAGTTTAACACAATACTAATCTGTTCTTATATCCCTTCTTACATCAGCTCCGTTGCTGAGAAGGCATCGTTTGCCCTGGATTAACCTTGTCCCACCCCTGTACCAGCACCATCCTTCTTGCAGTCTGAGATTGCAGTCTTTAGGTGATGAGAACAGCCTGATCTGAGAGGATGCAGGCGTCAGAATAGATGGAGTGCAAGTGTACTGGAAGAAATAAAGCTGACAAAAGATATTGAGATGACGAAAGATAACAGGAGATTTTGCTGACAGCTGAAACTAAGCTTTTCTACTTCTTTTTCTGTTACCTTTCCTCCTTTGTTTAGCATTGAAAGCAGCACTTTTCAAGGCTCATAACTTTACTATTTTACTTCTCTCGTGGTGGAGGTGGCAGGAAAAATGTGGAGGAGCCCCTAGCGGGCTCTCAGACAACTGACACTGCATCCTTCCGAAGGAAGTTTTTGAGTTCTTAGATTTTGGGTAGTATGCTTAGGTTGTGGTTGGACCTGATGATCTTTAAGGTCTTTTCCAACCTGAGTAATTCCATGATTCCACGGTGTTAGGAAATGTTGCTTCTCAGGAGGAGCGGTGATGCAGCAGCACGGCTGCCCATGAAGGTGGTGGGGTCAGCAGTCCTGTGGGTGTTAAAGAACTGGAAAAGTGGCACTGAGGGAATGGTCAGCGGGCATGGTGGGCACGGGGTGGTGATATCTGTGGCCTTCTCCAGCCTTAATGATTCTATGATCCTTTTTTCTCCGGAGAGTGAGTCCCAGCAGCACAAGTCACTGAACACAGCCAACGCCTTGTCTTGGCAGGTACAAAGAGAACATCCAGCGTCTCTCAGAGCTTCACCTTGACAGGCCCATCCACCCTCTGGACCTGGCTGTGCACTGGGTAGAGTTTGTCATGAAACACAAAGGGGCCCCACACCTGCGCCCTGCTGCCCATGACCTGAACTGGATCCAGTATCACTCTCTGGACGTCTTTGCCTTCCTCCTGGCTGTGGTCCTCCTCATCCTCTTCATTTCTGTGAAGTGCTGCATGTTCTGCTGCCGCAGGTGCTGCTTTAAGAAGGGGAGAAAAAGCAAGTCAGGGAAATCAAAGACCCACTAGCAGATGAAAACACTGATGGGAGGCGAGACCTCTGCTCCAGACCTCAAGGATCAGAAAACACCTTAAATTTCACTAAAATAATTACTAGCTTTCAATCAAGAAATAATTTAATTCCCTTAGACTAACACCAAGTGTTGTTTCATTGATATTTTTTGTCTTTAATTAAGAATTAGTTGTTAAAATAATTTGTACAGTAGTGCTTCAGTCACTTGGGAAGATATCAGTGCGAAGTCCAAGGTGCCTGGCTTCCACTTCTTGATGTACAGAGGCCTCGTGGTCGCATTTTTTTTTAACCTCCTTATGTAATGGAGAAATATGGGATTTCATATGCCTTTGCTCTGAGGGCTCTGTGAGCACCATTTGCTCTACCGTGTAAGATGGAACCGCTTTGAAATCTTTGTACAGCTGTTGCTATAGAAGAGGCAAATGTTATAATCTGACATTGTATGTCACATAAGCCAAGCTAGCTGCACATCTTATGTAGGCTTTGTGTGTGTTTACAATACCTGGGCTCGAGCCACTCTTCAGCATGGAAGTGGTTGTAAAGCCACTGGTGTTTCACCAAGTTCCCCATTGGGCAGAGATCCGTCTCTGGAGCTCGCCAGTTGGGCAGTGTGACCTTTGGAAGCAGTTTTTAAAAACTATCTGATTGATGCTCTGTAAATGATGTTAAGGGAAAAACCCAACCCCCAGTCCTTCAAATAAATCCCCAATACAGTAATGGCTCTTGTGTTTTCTGACTCGAGGGAGGTGGGGGCACTCACCACACATGAAGAGAGCTGGAGGAAGGAATGATTCAGTGCAGCAGTGTGTGATGCACTCAGTGAAAGGTGCCGGAATCATGCTGGGGACAGCCTGCCAGCTTGGGTCCAAAGGATGGTGGGGTTGGATGCCCTCTCTCATCAACTGGGGGAGCACAGGTGCTTTATGAACCCTTCGCTATATAAATGTGCCATGAGCATGAAAGTGCCCTGTGGCTGATGTATTTGGAACTGGGCAGCAAAGATGGATAGTCTATAGCCAAGCCAACTTGATGTGGGTTGGACTGAACCATCTCTAGAGGTCCCTTCCAAGCCCTGCAATTCTGTTATCCCTCTGGGCAGCAAAGATGGAGTGCTCAAAAGCTGCTTCTCACTATTATCATTTCATCACTCAGTGAATACAAGGAATCTTTTCCTTGGGACATGGGAAGGGAGTTCTAACAGGCCATAAGAGCTAGCTTGCTTCCCATTCACAGCTTCCACAGCTCCCCATGTCCATGAAGTGACAGCTCTGGCTGTCCCTGCAGCTCTGGGTGACTGCAGCACTTCTGTGCAGTGCTACTCAGTGACATGAGGTCCAGAGACACCTTGTGCTGCTCATCACAGCACTGAATATAAACTAGAACAGCAAGAAATGGCTGGGCGAGGCTGTGAGGTCTCCTCCTTGGAGATCTCCAGACCCACCCTAATGGCTGGGCACCACCTTTGGCCAATGGAGAAATAAGGAGAGAAAAAGAGCCAAAGCCTCAAACGCAAACAACAACAACAACAACAACAACCAAACCAAGCTAAAAATCCCACTCGGCTCTAGGGAGCTGATTTTTTCGGTTGGCAGTCTGGCAGACCGCTGTGCAGAAGGGAGAGAGGGAGAGAGCAGGCGGCGCTACCGGGGACCCCGCGGCGGTGCCGCACTGCGTGGTGTTCCGGCTGTGTCCAGAAGAGGGCGCCACCGCATCGCTGCCGGGCAAAACCCGAGCGGCGGTACGGGCGGCTCCGGGGCGGGGAGGCAGGGATGCTGCGGCTTTCCCGTTGCTCCTCAAAAGAAGAGCTGCACCAGGATGAGCTTGCTGCCCTTTAACTGAGTGCAGTATAGGATCACAGAATCTTTTGAGGTGGAAGGGAGCTGCTGAAAACTTGGGTGAGAGCCTCTTTGCCTTGCGCATGGCAGGGCTCTAGGGGACACAGCAGCTTGCGGTGGGAGGATGCCGTCCCACCCCAGCTTTACGAGATGAAATCCCATCCCCAGGCTTTTCCCTGCTGCCACAGCCAGCCGCGACACCAGTATTTCCAAAAGGAGGCCCCTTTTTCCCAGACCACACTCCCTCTGCGCACAGAGGGGTGTCAGAGGCCAGGCACAGCTCACACCCACCGGGTTGGAAGAGTGCTGGTATGGGATTTGGCTTTGCTAGGCGGCAGGAGGCGCTCCCAGCATCAATTCCATTTCCATTAAGGACAGAAGAATGGTTTCATACGCCAGATCTGATTGCTTAGGATGATAAAAGCAAGCCATCAGCACGGGCATCATCAAATCCCAAATCTCCCAGCAGATATTGGCTGACTCACTTCCTGCATAACCTCCTTCACAAGCCGGACCAAACAAACAGGACTGGCAGATCCTTCCCCAAAATACCTCCAGTCTAGGCTGTCATGGGCACAGTCTGCTTTTTGGGGTAGATCAAAGCACGCCGTGTCTGTCACCCAGCAGCCCTCCCAGCAGGGACCCAACCACATCCCAGCAACTCACTTCAACCAGCGAGACCTCGTGAAGTGATGGCTGTGAGGTTTAATCAACGTTCAGCAAGGGGCAGTTAAAGCGGGGAAGAAACCCAAGTTTAATTACCCCCTGGAGGCTGCTGACAATACGATGTCTCCAGGGATGGGGCTTCCACCACACCTATGGGTAACCTGTGCCAGAGTCTCACTGCCCTTATTGTGAAAAAATAACTTGTTCATCCCTCCAGCCAGAGGCTCCTTTCTTCTCACCACAGATAGCAGGGTATCCCCACCCTACATCAGCCATCTGCCATCCAGTGCAGAACTGTCAGTCAGTCCGTGGAGATGGGCTCTCTTTGGGCCTGGCTCCCTTGCACGTGGCCTTTGGGAAAACATAATACAAGAGCCTTAAAGTACCATTATCACCAAATCTGTGATCCCAGCCCAAGGAAGAAGCTGTGAAAAGAGCATTACCAAATAAAGGGCTTTTGTGGCCAAAAGATGAGTGGTGATGCCACAGATGTGTGCTGGAAGCTGTCTCCAGGGACAACAACCTCCTCTTGCAGCCACCTTGCTCATGTTCTATGAGGGCTCAGGCCTGATGAAGCTGACTTGGGTTATTAAGGTGAAGAGGTTATAAGGGTCACAGATTCATTGAGGTTGGAAAAGAGCTCTGAGGTCATGCAGTCCAATCACCAACTCGCCACCACTGTGCTCATTAACCATGTCCCCAAAGACCCAAAGGACCAGAAGACCCAAATGCAGAAGATTCACACACTGGCTGTGCCTGGGATTCTCCCAAAGCTGAGCAGCAGGGGCAGCGAGGTCCTCATAGAAGTTGTTTTGCTGGCTCTTCTGCCATGGTACGGCTTTACACAGCCTCCACTTGGTCAGGGGAGTCTGTCTATCAGAGGAGGGCAAACCCACTGGGAATTATGGTTTTCTGGTGCCAAAAGAAACCTGCCAGCGAGGCAAACACCTAGGAGTCGTCCTTTAATCAATTTCTCTAACCACTCGTGACCTCATATTGCAAGATTTGGGTGTCCTGACAGCCGATAATCCACCACCAGCATTCAGCTGAGAGCTACGAAGGAAGCAGAACAATTGATTTTCAGCAGGGATTTCCAGGGATAAAAACAGATGCCCAGAGAGCTCCTGGCTCTTTCATCACAGTTTCTCATTTTCATTGCAGACTGCACTGGGTGTCCAGACACTGAGAGCCAGGGAGGACAGAGCAAGAATCACTGATACTGCAGATTTCTGTCCAGACACTGATAACCCAGGGGTGACCTCCCTCCCTCCCCATTCTGACATATCTCTTTCAGCCATTTAATGGCGAGCTGAGCTGAGCTGATGTGAGATATCATCCTATTCCAATGGCTTGAAATGCTGCAAATGCATTGCCAAGGGGGCTGTGCTGAAGGAGGTCATTCCCTTGGTTGGACACAGAAAAAAAAGACCAATCATTTACTTGAAGATAAAATATTAGAGGGAGTCAGACAACAGAGAAGTAACTAATGGAGAATTGCTCCTATTAGGTCCAGGCTACTTAAGAATGATCATTCATATCCAGGAGCCCTAGTGGCCCTGGCCCAGCAACCCAGCTGTGCCACCCTGTGCTGCACCACGGGATGCGTTTTGCCAGGGATTAAATCAAACCAATGTCTTTGTTTTTCACCCTTGGCAAGCCGAAGCCACAGCCAGAGGCAGATATCTGAATAACCCACTTTCATGGTCTGAAATTGGAATTCAGTTCTTACTGAGAGCACCACAACTGACAGTCTGTGCTGCGAGCCCAAGGCCACACGGCCTGGGCATCAGCCTGTGGGATTGACAAAAGCCTCCTGATGCCCACTGCCTTAAACCCACCCACCAGCAGACAAAATCCACTCGGTAGCACTGCAATAGCAACAGCTTTAATAGGAATATTTTTCTCCAAAAAAATTATTATTATTTTTTTTAAAAAGGAACATTAAATGTAAGTACAATAACCAGTTACTGCACCAACTGCGGTCACGATGCAAAGCCCAGGCGCAGTTCCAGACGGGCTCTCCAGACAGCGGGCAGAAGGCATCTGAAAGACGTAGCCCAGCCCCAGCAGGTGAGGAGAGCTGGGATTTCTGACTGAAGGAGGGACAAAGCAACACAGTGGTCACCCTGAAACGTGCTGAGCGTTTCACCGCGGCTCACAGCAGTCGGGGAGCTGAGCACAGCAAGCTTCGTGTCACCGCTGAAATGTTAAGCTGGGTATAGAGTACCTGAGGTAGTTAGAAAAACCAAGGGGAGGGCAAAAAAAATAAACTGAAATTCTTTAGGGACGTCCCCATCTTGGAGTCACCAGAGAGTAAAACTGCCTACGAGGGCTGGGGCTGCCCTTGCCTGCTCTGAACAGCCCAAAGCCATGCTGGCACAGGCTGGATCTCTCTTGCAGGAGCTGCTCCTTATTGCATTGGAGATTTGGTTTTGCTTGGTGTGAGGAAAATGTGCTCTTACAGTGCCCTGCTCTTGTAAAGAGGAAGCAAATGCATCACGGGCCCAGGTGCTGGCAGACCACATTTATTTCTGTGCTACGCCGCGTTGCATAGGAAACTCCTTAAAGCCCCTGAGGAGAAATTAAGGTGCTAATTATTTCTGGTGGGGTCCTGTGAGGGGAGACTGCTTCTGGGGGTGTCGCTTTGAAAAGAGGATGTAAAGCAGTGAAGCTGTGGGAAGACATTCCCTCCCGAGGCTGCCAGCACCATCAGATGCCCACTCACCACCTGCACCTGCAAATCCATGGGCAGTGCCCCACACCTGGCTCTTCCAGGGAGCTTATATCACCTGCAGCCTCCCAAGAGAAGAAATCAAGCTTAAGTGTCACCACCTCCTGCTCCTGGCTGCTGAGAGCCCAGCCTGTTGGCCACAGCAGCCGCTCTTGTGTGCTTCTATTGCGTTTGTCAAAGATGCCTTCCCCACTCTTTCTGTTTTTCTGGTTCAACCTGAAAGAAAATCAACCTTAACAATCCGTCTTCCTCGCTATAAAGAGACTTTGCACCTAAAATAATGTTTCTGTGCAAAAATATTCCCCTCCCATGTAAAATATTTCAAAGCTGAGGAGCAGAAGGAAGAGGGGAGGTAATCCAAAAGAGGCAGCTATAAAACACGAGGGGAAAGAACGGGGCACTTGGTACCATAAATATTCAGCTCAATGGCACCAGTGTCATTGCAAAAGACATTTACAAGTTCAGCTGGAGTTTGGGAGCCTCAA